TAGAATTTTTCTGAGGTATGTCTATTACTGGTACCGACCCCCTGTCCATTACTAGAACAATTGAATTTTGGGATGTCCATCACTAGTCCAAAAAGGTATTTTTTTTTAAATAGAGATTATATCTGCAAATCTTTTTTTTTTTTTTATTCATTCATAATATTTACAACTGTACTAAAAAAAAAAAATACATCAAGTAAATGTGCACTCAGGAATATAATAACATGAAAACACTTGTTGAGAAACCAATCACTGGTAGCACTCAAATAATAAGTTTACACAAGAAGACCATGAGGCCACCTTCTTTTCAGACACGTCGGGAGATTATCTGAGAGGAGGAAGCAAGATTTGAAACGATTGGGTTCGGATGGTTCTGAAGTTTGTTATAGAAGGATACGTATCTGGATTGGGCCAAATCAGAAATATATGGAACATTAAGGTCGTTATGGATAATTTTATTTGTGACTAAGTAAGGGGCGTTGAGGATTTTACTAAGGATTTTGGATTGTAAGGATTGGATACGATAGAAATTCGATGGTTTAGTGGAGCCCCAAAGTAAGTATTGGAGTAGTCGGAAACGTCGAGCGGTTTCTTGAGGGTTTCAGCCTGGTATGGGGATTCCAAGTTTATAGACGTTTTTCCAAGTGGAGTTCAAGGTATTGGATTTGTTCAACAGGGATAAGTGGGGTATTATTAAAGGATACTGTAGGACAGGAGGTCATAGGTTTGCGAAGCAGGACAAAGGAAATTTGATGGGATTTATTGGAATTTATTTTAATTCTTCAGTTTTTACACCATTTTTCAAGGTTTGTGATATGTGAATAGAGAGTTTGGGATGCAGTTGATAGATCATTTTTAACAGATAGGATATATGTCATCAGCATACATGGTGATGACAGTGTCAGGATTGATTGGGATGTCAGCTGTACAAACTGTGTAAAGGATAAGACCCAGGATATTACTTTGAGGAACACCAGCAGATGGAAAAAAGGGATGAATAAGAGTTGTTGTGATTTACTTTAAAGTATCAATCAGTAAGGTAGGAACGAATAATGAGGAAATATGTAGGTGGTAGGAATTTACGGAGTTTGTACATCAGTCCCATGTGCCAGACTCTATCAAACGCCTGTTCAACGTCATGGACTCCCGTGCAGTACAATCCATACTCCAATGCAGAGGAGACTACGTCTACCACACGATGACATTGCTGAATAGTGGAGTAGGATGTGTGGATTCCAAATTGGTGATCTGGAATTATGTGGTTAGAATCAAGGATAGGATTCAAGCGTTTTAAGATGAGTTTTTCGAGGAATTTGCCCAAGATAGGTAAAAGAGAGATAGGACGGTAAGAGGATGGGTATTCTAGTGACTTTTTAGGTTTTTGTATCATTTTCACAATAGAAAGTTTCCAAGGGCCAGGAAAGTATGTGGATCGGAGTACAGTATTACATATAATGAAGAGAAGGACAGATGGGGTGATCAGTCAAATTAAAAATGGCAAAAATAAATAATAATATTTACTTTAACATTTGCCGACGTTTCGACCCGAAGTTCAGGCCTTCATCAGGGCTAAGAAAAGAACCAGATAACAAGGTATGAGAAACATAAACAATGTAGGTAATAAAACTTAAAGTAAAATGAAGTAGATAAGTGAACATTAAAGTAAAATGAAGTAGGTAGAATAACGACAATAACAAGAACTAATAAATAAATAATAATAACGGTTATAAAGTGTGGACTAATGAAGTAAACATTGTCAAAATATGGTGACATAAGTACTAAAATGGTAATCTTAGAATAAAATGTAAAACAGAGAAAAGGAATATGAAGTTATATAAGAAATAAAAATAAATAGAAAATTGAGATATTGTAAAGTCTATCAAAATGTACTGACTACGTATAAGAGAATAAAGAGTTAAAATAAATTAAAAAATAAATGAGCAAATGTATCAATATATACAAAGTGGAGATGGAGATATGGAAAACAGAATGAAAGGAATGAGGAAATAAGGAGAAAACTAAGATAAGATAGAAAACCAACCTGATCGAAGAGATTGCTTAAATAGAGTGGAGATATGGTAGCAAGGGAGGGGAGAGATGTATTGTTGCGTCATCTCTGATGGATGACTGACAAAGTTTTGAACTAAAGTACCGGAAACGTATATAATTGACGAGAGATATATTACAGATAAATATTATGAATAATTAAATAAATATATATATGAAATATATATTAATTTCAAATATTCTCCAAAAATAACCTAAAATACAAGCACTCATTACACGATATTACTAGAGAAAATGGAATGATCCTGGCTCAATTAGCGGAAATGTTTAGTTTGAGTATAAAGAGTACCTGCTTCCCTCACAAACTAATACATAAAAGTACCTGGAAAGGATATGGTTAATCAAATAGATCATGTGTTGATTGGAACTAGGCATGCATCAAATATAATTGATATAAAGGCCATGAGAGGACCTAACTGCGACTCTGACCATTATCTGGTTAAAGCGCGTCTAAGACAAAGAATAGCCAAAGCAGCAATATCTAAAAATACTAAGAAAACTAAATGGAACACTGAATGTTTTAGAGATGAGGAAAAATGTAAGAAGTATCAAGACACCCTGGACAAAAGGGTCATTAAAGGAAAAGTGACAGATAGGACTATGAATGTGGATGAGAGATGGAAACTGATGAAGAATATCCTTAATTTTGTGGCTAAGGAAACTCTGGATGAATCTGATAATGTAAAATATGCTGAATGGTTTAACGAGGACTGTAGAAAAGTAATAGAGAAAAGAAATAAAGCAAGACAGAAAATGCTTCAAAGAAATACCAGACAGAACTATAATAACTACTGTTCACTAAGAAAAGAGGTGAAAAAGATATGCAGACAAAAAAAAAAAGAACAATCCTAAACAGTAGGATGGAAAACAATGAGAAAATGAACTTGGAGCATGAGAGTCGAAAGTTTTATAAAGAAGTCAACTGGTTCAGAAAAGGATACCAGCTACAGTTTACTGGTCTTAGAGATAAGAAAGGTAAAATATAGGAAGGTGAGGAAAACGTCATAAAAAAATGGATGGGACATTTTACAGAGTTATTAAATATAACTAACGCAACTGATAGTGAGTAAAGATGATACTGAAAACGTGATAAAAAGATGGATGGGACATTTGACAGAGTTATTAAATATAACCAATGCAACTGATAGTGAAAATAGTAATGAAGTTCCTATAAATAAAAATGAGAATCAAGTAACCCAATCTGCAGTAATGAAACCCACTAGAGTAGAAATAGAAGACGGCATTAGAGCAAAAAAAAAAAAAAAATTGTAAAGCATCAGATGAAGATAAAATCGTAGCAGAACTAATTGAAAATAGTATCATTAAAATGAAAGACATGATCTACGAACTGATATATGATATCTGGGAAACTGAGAAAATGCCACAAGAATGGAATATAGGACTATTGTGCCCTATATTTAAAAAAAGTAGTAAAGAATTTTGCTCTAACTATCGAGGAATCACGTTATTAGAAGTGCTCTATAAAGTGCTATCTAATGCCATCATGAGAACGCTTAACATTTATACAGAAAAGATTTTGGGGGAATACCAATGCGGCTTCCGATATGGAAGGAGCACAACAGATCAAATTTTCTTCTTAAGACAAACTATGGAACTTTTCTATGAATATAATTTGGACCTTCACCTTCTATTTATAGACTATAAACAAGCATTTAATAGCATAAAAAGAGCTGCTCTATTCAGCATCCTCAAAGAATAAGGCTCATAAAAATAACACTAAGCGATACTGCTGCCAAAGTTATGATTGGGAACAAAGTGGGTGATGCCTTTGATGTGCTCTCTGGAGTAAGGCAGATCGAGGCATTTTCGGCAACACTATTCAACTTGGCCTTACTTTCGGCAATTAAAGCTGAAATACTAGCCAATAAAAACCTGACAAATTTACGCATATGCAGATGATTTGGTTATTAAGGCCAGAAGCGAAGCAGCACTAAATGAAGCATTCAAAATTATTGTAAAAAAAGGTATCAGGGTTGGACTCAACCTAAATCAATAAAAACAAAATATATGCTATTAAAAGCTGCAAATAACCAGAGAAACAACAGCATATCCCTTTTCAATTATAAGTTTGAAAGAGTGACCAGATTCACTTACTAAGGCTCCTCAATAAATATAGAAAACAAGATCAGCCATGAAATACGAAATAGAATAATGGGTGGAAATAGGGCATATTATGCATACCTGAAACTCCTCAAATCAAAGATTATTTCTAGGAAGACCAAACTAAAGCTGTATAAAATGCTCTGATCAAGCTGATTGTCACCCACGTGTCGGAAACTTGGTGTCTAATATCGACAGAGTAAAAAACTGAGAGTTTTTGAGAGGCAAGTTATAAGAAGGATATACAGGGCTGTACAGATAGATGGAAAGTGGAGGATTAAGAGCAATGCAGAAATTGCAGCCATTCTAAAAAACCAAGATATAGTTAATTATATAAAAGCAGGTAGACTGTGATGGGCAAGTCGTGTTGAATGATTGAAGAGAGGGTTCAGAAAAAGATGCTGGAAATGGCAATCATTGAAAAAAAAGAGAAAAAGAGGTAGACTGAGGAGCCGCTGGAAGGATGAGGTGGAGAGATATGCTGTAAAGTTAGGTGTCGTGAATTGGAGGAGCACTACCAAGGACTGTGAAGTATATATATATAGTGTGGAAGGCCAAGGGTCACAAAGACCTGTAGAGCTGGATAGTAAGTAAGTAAGTAACCTAAACATAAACAAACAAAAAATCTTGGCATATGATTAAATTGAATCATTCAATCAATTCACAACGAACAATTTGATCAAGTTGAAAGAAACAATTAAAAAAAATTCCAATAGGCTACAGACTCCTGACTGGAAACCCCTATTTATACTTGCACATAGTGACAGCTATAAAAACTTCTTTTTGTGTTATTAGTCTTCAATAAATCGGCTTACCTCAATAGGATATTCACCGCACATGATGAGAAGAGGAGCAGCAGGTGGTGGAGAAACAGGCGGGCTAGCATACGGCCAATAGAACACAGGAGGAGGTGGCATTCTTGGCACAATATATGGACCAATGGCAGTTATACCATCTGTCCAGCGGATACCGTCTCCTGTTATATATGTTAAATCATATAATTAACTACATTAGTCTGAAAATCAACATCTATCAAATCGCTTATTTATGTATACCTTTGTACATACACACTCATTAATAAACACACAGAGACACACATAAACTGGCTGGGAGCAATATAATTATTTTTAGTAATTATGATCAAAATATTATTACATGATATTATTTTATTAGTCAGCTCAACTCAAAATAATATTTCCAACATAAATAACAATTACTTGGTATTTTCTCAATGATTTTCAGTACAAGATTATTGATAAGATTTCTTATAAAGTAAGATATTGAAAATTCAATTTTAAATAATAATTGTATTTATTTTCAGTTTTTAGGAGAAAAATCTAATAGTTATTATAAGAAACTGAAAAAAATTACATAAAATAATTTCAGAGAGGTAATTAGAAGTTCTTATCATAATTATAGTACCTTATTAAAAGGCCAAAGAATTCCTAAATTGGCCACTGAGCAATAATTAATGAAAAAAACAGCCAATTAATTTTCTTACAATTTTTTGTTTTCAATTAACAAAAACTACAGATAAAATAATACTTTTAGCAAACTTATAAAAACAATATTTTTAGTATAGTTTACTTTTTTTTATAACCAGTAATAAATATACATATCGCAAATCCCAGAATGAAAGTGCCACAACTTAAAAGTCACAACGAACATTAGACACTCATCAATTTCTACTTAGAAGCCCCCAAGAGTGTTTCCTTTAACATATGTTGGTGGACAATCACTTATTATGTCTAATGGTTGGTTAGCCCTGATATTAGATGTCTGGCAGCTCTATTGAATAATAGAGGTCCAACTATTATAATTTCTGATAATAGAAAACTTGAGTAGTGCCTTTTTTATTCTGGATGTGTAATATATTTTTTAAAAATAATCTCAAGAAGAAACATTTTATACCACATCAGTAAATCATATGATTTATGGGAACGTAAGAATGCAATGAATTAGTTTATAATGAAGAATTATTTTTGAAAAATAAGGGAAAAATGTAAATCAACTATATATTCCTGAATGTACAGTAAAACAGACTAAAAGTGAAGGGTCTTGGCTTTAGTACTTTTTCTAGGATATAACTACTTTTTTTCAAATGGTTTACCCAGGTCTTACAAGCAACCCAGTAGTAAAGGAAATATGTGCTCCAAATGAGTCTACTAACCCTGAATTCATCCATGGCTATTGTTAATATAACAGTTTAAATATATTTTCTACCACATTCTGATTAAAAAATGGGTCCTTACCAATTGAACTACCTCACTTTCCAAATCAAAGTAAAGCTAATTATAATCAAAATTTAGTAAATAGACCAAATAGCCATAAGGATTACCATGGTTACATTCAAAAGTAACCCCACCCCCTGCTATACAGATTAATGCTGATCCATTTTCTTTATAGTAAAGTTAACAGTTAATACTACTCTAATAAACAGTTATTTACCATTTAATGATTCATAAGTAATTTCCAACCGAAACTTAATACATCAGGCCAAATTAGCTCCCAGGCAGTTTTATAATCCTTACATTCAGAGCTTTAATACATATAATTAAAGCTCAGACCAAAAAAATGAATAAAAAGGTAAAGAATATGGTTAGTTGGAAAATATAAATATTAATTTTAAAAAAATGTGTGAGTGTGTTTATAAAAATATATATTAATATATAAATTAGAATTATAATGAATGTGGGTGTATATATATATATATATATATATATATATATATATATATATATATATATATATATATATATGACACACACACTCAGTTTGTCATTGTTTCACATAACCCCTCCCCCTCCCTTAACATAAAGGTATATTCATATTTTTCATGAATCAACTATAAAAAAATGTATGTAATAAAACTTAATTTTACATTTACTTTACCATTTGTAGTAAAAATTTCCATTCCATATATACTTTACCTATATAAAAATTTCTTCGAGGTACATAAGCAATTTATGTAACAGTTCGATTCCGATAAGAGCCAATATTTTTTTTATAATTCAAAACAATGTTAGTGTTACTTTGTTTTTTGAAATTGTTATTAATCAGCAATGCACAGACAAAACAAGAACACAGTGCTGAAAACATGGTGCGAGCTTTGTTAATTTCTACTGATGGCACCACTTTGTGAATATGTATATATATATATATATATATATATATATAATTGTATTATATATATATAAAATTGAACTGAACCAATTTAATTTATCCATTAATACGGCTCTTGTACTGATTAGAACCAATGAAAAAATATAAATGTATGTAATACGCAATTTTTTTAATATGTTCTAATAGTTGGGTCAAAAAATTGATCCCTGCAGTTAGTGAGGATGATCTGTAAAACTTATATGATTTATGCATTTATTTTAAAATTTGGGTCAATAACGGTTTATTATTTCTAACTTCAATGAAGATAGCAATAGAGAAATTATACATGTCAAAATTTAAGTTAACAAATAAACTTTGGTTCTAGAGTATTTTGTTTTTAGAGAATGTGGAATTAATAGTTTCATGAATCATTTAACTGGCATTTTGTTTTTATTTCGCAACATATTATCAGTACAAGATTCCATACAATGGCGACAGCATGCAGTTAACCAAAAAGTAGAAGACAACCGGTATTGGGAATTAAATGCTAATTATTATTACAACAAAGAAATAACAAAAATAAGGAAACTGAAAGACAAAACATTGAAAGCGTGCAGTATTAGTCCGAAAGAGGCGAAAGATCGAAGTTAGCCATAATCACCTCCGATATTGCACCTCCCCGTCCCATGTTAAAAACCATTATATATTTAAAAACATTTTAAATAAATAAAATTATTTAAAAAATCCACTCACCCATAAAAGAGGAAATCCAAAATCCAAAAAAACGGAGTCTCCCTGCAAACGCTAGGACACCTTTTGTTTTCTTGAATTGAAAACTCAAGTGATGTGATACTTTTAACAATTAATAAGGGTGCACAGGTTGCTAGTAATACAAATATTTCCATGGTACATTATCTCAATACCGAGACAAACTATTAATACACTTCACCAATATTAAGAATATGAAGTAAACAAGGATGTCAAGGTTTTAATTTTACTAAATTTTGAGACAAACTCATCATATATAGTGGCATAGGGGTACTACACAGAGAAATAGTATTAATAATAATAAAATATAAAATTAAAGGAAAAAAACAAAACAACAAAGGTGCCTTTGTAACGAAGTAAATGATAATACATCTTACAGAGAAAAGTAAGTGTATGTTGAAAGATGAAAAAAAAATTCTTATGTGTGTGAATATGCTTTAGCACGAGCATTGCCTTTAACTTACAGAATTGGGTTAGAAAGAAAATTATGTGGTTATTGAAGAAATTTGAATTATGATTAAAGAATAATTGGTTATTAAAGAAATTATTTCGCTAATATATATTTTTTTAAAGAAATTAGTTTGATTAACAAATATTTTATTTAACTGATAAGCATATATTCCTTAAATATTTGTAGTAAGTATCTCTTCTTGTCAACAACTGTCTAGCATTACTTTTCATACTTTTCTGCTACTGAGGTGTTCCATCGGGATAGTCACTCTTACTAATCCTTTTTTTAAAGAATTAAAATGATTATCTGATTCTATTCACCATTTATTACACTATTAACATACAGCAAATCTTCAAATTAGTTTACTCCTCTATCTTAGTGTCACAATTGAGGCAATAGTTGGCAGATAAAACTAAGTCAATCCCCATTCTCCATATTTTTTCCCCTTACCATTTTAATTTACTACAAAAACCTTCGTATCCACGTTTTAAACTTTAATATCACCTTTTAACTTTTTTCTTAGAATACTATTATCCAAAAATTCTTTACTACCTTAAATTGATTTTAATATTCTGTTAATGTTTTAATATTGTTTACCTAAAAATTCTTGCAAACCCCACTTTTTTCACTTAAATTACAGCTGCCCAGTCCGTGGGGGATTTACAGGTGGTTTTGAAATAAGATTGAAGAGATCAAAGAATTGTTTCATTAGATTCATCCTTAGGGTTAACACCCAGCTACTTCTATGTCTCATGCAGATATGGTGAGTTAAGGAGGCTTTATTCTAATCACCCAGAGCTATTATTGCAGTCTTTTGGTCCAAATATTAAAAATTAACTAATTAACTATGATGAATTAACTATCTTTAGTAACAGCGACCGATTTATTGCTAATTAAAGCTCTATTTAACTGTGCTTTATTCATGATTAGCAAGTAAATACAACGAGAAATATAATTTTTGGATAAAATTCTGTTTGTTATCAATGCTATAATGGAATTTCTTGCTAAATAAATACATAACTTTGATGAAAAAAGACAGTGGTTTTGGTATATTCCAAGTATTAAGAGAAGTCATGAATTCTTGATAACAAAACACGTCCACAAGGGTTCTATTCTAAAGAATAGAATATATTTTCTCTTACCTCTTTCTATAACCTAATTTTATTAGACACATGGAGCAAACTGATATGAGAGTTTATTAACAGCAATGTAAAATTAATAAAAAGGGAGTGTAAAACAGTTTTTGACAATAGAAAAGATACTTCATTAGGCTTTAAACATTGAAAAATACATATAAAAACCTTTTGGTTTTCAGTCATGCATCAGTTAAACTTGATTGATCCCTAACAAATTAATCTCTGTATTTCTAAGAATACCTTTAATTTTTTTATAAATCACAGTTTTCCCACCGAAAACATGTAATATCAAAATGAATTATTTGAAATTATAGATATTAGATGTCAAGCACAATTAAATGAATACATTAATTATTAAGAACATAATTACAAGAACTGATGTAATAGTATATGACGAAAAGTGTTATAAAATATCAGTTACAAAGGCAGCCCTTCCTGCAACCTGTGCAACAAAGGATTATAAAGGAGGGGCAGGTGCAGTCTTCCTTTCGTTTAAAGCAGAGTAAGTACTCCATCATT